TTTGGGGAAGAGTAGCTCACCAAGCGGGTAGGCGTTGGGGAGCTTTAGTAATGTTCGAGGGAGCTCGGGGACTCACTCGGAAGGCTTAGACTTGAAGTAAAAGCGTATATTCGATCGTACCGACGATCAGAGAGACAATAGACAGAAGTAGAGAGAAACAGAGGTAGAGAAACAGAGAGGAAAGAGAAATCCGTATGGTTAGCAGGTACAAAGGGACAGGGACTGGACCTATGCAAAAGGGTGTGTGTTCAAAATATACCAAGCTGGGGCTTGGGGACGTGTCAGAGCTACTTAAATAGGTACGGGAAGTGGACAAGGGAACATCAGGGGATCTAGTGAACATGAGGCGGTAATCGAGATTGATACTTAATGGGGTTGCTATAGGGGGTCCTGTATGCGCGCCGGGGAATGTACGTGTGTCGGTGAAGAACGTTTGGGTAGGTATATGGTGGTACTTGTGTGGGAAGGTGCAGGATGGAGGTGCATGATAGTACTTGGGGAGGTGACTTGGGAGGTGTAGGGGAAGTGCAGGAGGTGTATAGAGTGTGTGACAACGTGTGGCGGGTACTGGGGCTGGTCTGGTTTTAGGCAGGGCATGACACCAACAAACAAACTTGAAGAACGTATTAAATTGAATCAGCAGGATCGATCTCCTATCAATTTAATAGATGAAACGAATAAACAAGTGGATAATGAAGCCATAGGAGTCGAGAAACCAATCAACTCGAACACAGAAGAAGTGTTTACGAAGTATAAACCAGTTGATAAAAAGGTTAACCCTATAAAGGCGACGTTACCAGATGAATTTCGAATTGAAAGACACATTCATGGTGATCCGTTATTGGAACTACCTGAATTGTCGAAACATCCTAAACGTTTGTTCCTACGGGAAGATATACGAAGAAAGGAAAGAGATTATAGATAAGAATCATCCTGAAGGATTTTTATGGGAACAAGAAAGAGATCTTATGCACGAAATGATGTGTAAACAGGAAGCAGGTTTTGCTTGGGAACCAAGTGAAGCTGGGACCTTTAAAAATGAATTCTTTCCACCTGTGAAAGTACCTGTAATTCCACATGAACCGTGGGTTGAAAGGAATATACCAATTCTGCCAGGTATCTTTGAGGATGTCTGCAAAATAATTAAAAGTAAAATTGACTCAGGAATATATGAACCATCGAATGCTAGTTATCGTTCGAAATGGTTCTGTGTCATTAAGAAAGATGGCAAGAGTCTGCAATTAGTACATAGTTTGGAACCTTTGAATAAGGTTACCATCCAACACTCAGGCGTACCTCCTGCAACTGCAGATCTAGCAAAATCCTTCAGTGGAAGATCTTGTGGAGGAACCTTAGATTTATATGTTGGATATGATGAACGAGAATTAGATCAATTGTCTAGAGACATGACGACGTTTCAAACGCCGTATGGACCACATAGGTTAGTAAAACTACCTATGGGGTGGACAAATTCCGTACCTATATTTCACAACAATGTGACATATATTCTATGAGATGAAATACCACACGTAACAATTCCTTACATTGATGATGTACCTGTAAAAGGACCATCAACTCGATATGAATTACCAGAAGGAGGTTACGAAACCATTCCAGAGAATCCTGGAATTAGACGATTTGTTTGGGAACACTTCCAAAACATGAATAGAGTAATACAACGAATGAAATATGCAGGTGGAACCTTCAGTGGAACCAAAGCATTTCTTGTTGTGAGGAAACAATTGTCGTAGGACATAGATGTACCTATGAAGGCAGTATGCCCGAAGAACATATTGCTCAAGTAGTCCTAGAATGGCCTTCATGTCGTGATAAGACTGAGGTTCGAGCATTCTTAGGGACTGCAAGTCAATTGAGAATGTTCATTGCGAACTTTGCTAAGAAAGCAGCTCCTTTGACTAAGTTGACGAGTAATGTTCCATTTGAATGGAATGAAAAATGTGACAAAGCAATGGGCAAATTAAAGGATGGAATCCGAGACTGTCCAGCTTTGAGACCAATTAATTTTGATTGGGATGTTTACTTAGCGATGGATACCTCTTACAAAGCTGTGGAATGGTATATCTATCAAATTGATCCGACTGAAAAGAAGAAGTTCTTCAATTACTTTGGATCAATGACTTTGAATGAACGCGAAGCACGATTCTCGCAATCTAAGAGAGAATTGTATGGCTTAAAATTAGCATTGGAAGCTAGTTATTATCATGTCTATGGATGTAGACGTTTAACAGTTGAAACTGATGCAAGTTATATTAAAGGCATGTTAGACAATCCTAGTTGTGGTCCTAATGCAACTATAAACCGTTGGATTGAGCATGTACAAAACTATCACTTTACATTAATCCATGTAAAAGGTGCAACCCATGGTCCTGATGGATTATCACGAATCACACCTGGTGGATGGCAAACAAAGCGTCCAGAAGTAAATCCAGAAGATTACGTTGATGAGGATGGTGGGGAACCAATTAATTTTATTATAGGAGATAAGGAAACGGAAGAGCCGTATCAATTTGATGACTTCAAAGATCAAATTGACCCTAGAAGTGGTTACTTATACGAAACAGCTCAAGAGGCTGATGATATTGAATTAGATGTACAAGAAGCTCTAGATGAAGAGCGCAGCTACGAGATTCGTAGGAACCACATGTTAGAATCCAAAAATGCAACATGTGAAGTCTTCAGTAGGAATTTGTTCCCTACCTTTGACAAAGAATTTGTACAAAATAATCCGTACCCAGAAGCACATAGATCTTCTGAGGGTAATAGATTAGACGAATTAATTCCTTTGATTGGGAAGTACTTGTCGAACCCATCAGATGAATCCCTGGGTGAAATGTCAAAAGATGAACGGATTAAATTTATTAGATTGATTAAGAAGTTTCAAGTGGACAACCGGGGAAGGTTGTACCATAGGAATACTGATCAACCTGATCAACCACAATTAGTGGTGGAAAAAGAAAAGCGTATGCACATGTTGAATAGTGCACATGATTGTTTAGGACACAAAGGAGTCTTTGCAACGAATGATTTCTTGCAGAAACGATTCTGGTGGCCTGACATATATAAAGACATGGAATGGTATGTGAGATCATGTAAGGAGTGTCAAAATAGACAGATGAAGCTGTTGAAAGCACCTCCTACTTTGATGCATACACCTTCATTATTTCAGAAGGTACATGTTGATACAATGATAATGTCGATTCCATCTAATGGATGTAAATACATCATCCATGGAAGGGATTCACTGTCTTCGTGGTCTGAGGCCCGAGCAGTAAAACATGAAAATGCTAGAACTTTAGGAGAATGGTTCTTTGACGATATAATTTGTCGTTGGGGATGTCCTGAAGAAGTGGTGACCAATAATGCAGGTCAAATGAAAAACATGCTAGCTTGGTTAGAAGAGAAGTATGGAATTAAAGGAATAAGAATTTCCGCCTACAACTCTCAAGCTAATGGAAAGATTGAGAGAGCGCATTTGGACATACGTGAGGCCCCGGCACAGATGGCCTGCTCTGGTCTTACCCAGACTGGGCCTAAGCGAACGCAGTAGCCGCCTAGGCCGTACGAGGAGGTATGGGATAGTGCCGATACTGGTGAGGGGAGCCTAACCAGGGGTAGTTGTGGAGCTTGGGTAGACCTAATAGAGGGTCCTGGAGGTGTAGAACGTAACGCATAACCACCGCTTCGATGTGGAGGGGAGGTGTAGCTGATACGAGTGGGAAGCTGTGGGGAGCTTAGGGAGCAATAAAGCGGAATTGGGAACCTAATGGGAGGTTCCAAAGGATGAAGGACGAATTGTAGAGCCTCGACGTAGATGGTGAGTCGAAGTAGAGGCGTAGACAATACGAGGATTGACAGAAAGAGGCCAGAGATCAGAAACAGTGAGGAGAAACAGAGTTGAGGTGAGACAGAGATAAAGGAAACAGATAATGAGGAAATATATGACTGTTGAGACGTGTCAGGCCCTGTTAGCAAGTACTAGTAGACTGTACTAAAGGGACCAAGCCAGGTAGGAAGAGTTTCCAGGTAAGATTTGACAATAACACGCTGGGGAGCTCCGAGGGGAGTCCCCAGCCTATATACTGTACATGAGGCTGTCAGGTACATATGTCATGTGGCTACTGGAATGACAGGTAATATGTACAGTAAAGATCGTAAGGATGGTGCATAGAATATCGGAAACATGTATAAGTGATGAACCGGAGCTCTGGAAGGAAAAGGAAAAGGTCCGGAGAAGCAAGGCATGACAGTACCCCCCCTCTAAAACCTGAGCCCGCGAAGGTAGAAAATGGTCACAAAGTTTAAATAAATCATGGAGATAAAGTTGAAGGTACCATAGGAAAGGTTTCGGTGTGAGGGGGACAGTGACAGGAGGATAGCTCAGAATGCAGGCATTGACCTGAACACCAGATAGGGCATTGGAAAGAGGTTCAGAAGCACTTCCTGACGCCCCCAGAACATCCCAAATGCAAGCAAAAGTAAAGGAGTGGTGCATCAGGAAACCCACCCATGGAAAATGGGGCACAAATTTCGACAATTTTGAGAAATAACACGAATTAGCTAGTTTTCCAAATTTGCCAGATTAGTTAGCCCCCCATATATTTTTCGAAGAATTTTTGCAAACTTCGAATAAGTTTCCGTGATTTCTTCCAGTCCAAGATGTGAAATTAGCCACCTTTGTGAACACTTTCACCTAATTTCATCCATCTATCGCAGTCTTATTTTTGAAAATTAGCTTGTATTCGCCGATTCATTGAGGCTTAAGCATTGAAATTGAGACAAATTTAGACATATTGAGTCAGACAGTAGGAATAATTTCATTGCATTAAATCATGGAGAATAAATGTAGCTTAACAGGATCCACTCTTCGACTGATTAAAACAAATGAATATAGCATAGTCGTATATAGAATAACGCGGGGGATGCAGAATTAGGTGTTACATCACAGCGGATGTCATAGTAACGGGCTCGGAGCTGCGATACTATGTTGTAGAGGCAGCAGGAGCAGCGGGAGAAGTGTCAACATTGACTGCAGCAAGCGCAGCCCAATCTGTTGTGTCAAGAATTTGTTGCTGCGACCAACCATGCTGAGCAAGTGGCAATGCACCACTGGAGAAAACAGGTTAGTAAGACATCGAGTATCAACTAAAATGCTTACGAAGTTGCCATGTACAATTCATGCATAATCTTATGGTAGAGCGCGCGGTTGACACGTTCGATATTCTCAAGGGTACAAATGGCAGTCCTCCAAATCGCAGCAGACTCTGTGGCTGGGAAGCTTGCGGGACGACCACCACGCGAGTAGTCATTGAGTAATGCGTGAATCTAGATTGTTATGAGCTATGGCTAGAGTAAAATTTAATGAAACGTACCCCAGCTGTTGCGAGGGCCACCATGCCTTTTGTGAGCTCCAATTCTAGCGGCTTGCTCTGATTTGAGGAGGTGAAACGGCCTTGACATCCTCGGATCACTGTACCATATAACCCTGTACCGAAGAATGTCCCTTGGATATAGGCAATGTACGCAGGATGTTGGAAAGGTTTGAGATTATCGAAATTGCCATTCTAAGGATACGTTAGCAAAGTCACGCATACTGATGAGGACAACAGACCAGATCGAGACCATACATGAAATGTTTGGTAAGGATTATTTGAGCTGCAGTCATAGTCCCTCCGAAGTTATTCAATCCATAAGCATTAACAACAACGGCACTCAATCCACTCCCTTTCAGCTCCTTTGCTCGCTCGTTTCCAATGCGGCTAGCCACCTATGAGAAAATATGATCAGATGTCCAATGAGAGCGAGAAAACAACACCATACATAAGCTGTCAAAGGCTTGATATACGTGTCATGCTCTCCGTGTTCCAAACGATCAGCTACATCATGCTCGCCCTCATATCCTAATTGTTCTGCAGCCTTGATTAGTGAGCTTATAGCGAGTTGCTTCACTTCTTCCGAATCCAAAGGACAATACTTGTGGCCTGTTAAAAGCTCAGCCTTACCCTCTTTGATGGCTCGCTCAATTACACCTTGCATAGTTGTAGATTGTCCGCTTTTGCTGAGAATCCAGGTGTGCCCAGAAGTCCCCTTGCAATGAACTGCAATAGTGGTACGATCTCTCCCAGTGGGACCCACCAGTGGAACTGTCGCCGGAAGAGTTGTAGTCAAACGTGTTTTATTGACCGGTACAGGTACAGGAACATTCTTCGATGTTGGAAGGTTCTCATTAGTGATCCGTGGCAACTTCGAGTCCATTCAGTGTAAAGTATGGTGCGTAGACAGGATACACACCTCATATTCGAGCTTCCTAGCGACTTCTTGTGTCACCTGTCGGAGTGGAGGTGATTGCTCTACTACAGAATTGTCATTGAAATCTGATGCCGGTGGTGTGGAAGGAGAAGAAGACAGATCAAGACTTGATGAACGGATATGAGGCACTACATATACAATCAGGTTAGTGACCGAACTGTAATACACATAATTATTCTAAGCTCACCATAGTTTTCCGACAATGATGAACGGAAATGTGCCGCCTATGCACCAGGTAGGTGAATACAATGTATGCAGAGAAAATAATTGAGCGCACCTCCATCTCAAAGGAGTGTACAGCTTGTCGGTCATGTTCCCGCTCATTCTCAATTATGCCATGACCGTCGTCATTATCCTCTGGACCACTAGAGTCAATGTCTGGCTCTGCATGCTCTCTCGCTGAAATGATGTCATTAGAAACTGACGGCGGTGGGGAAGCAATATATGGATCTAAGGTTGAATGAATTGGTTGACATTCATAACGAGTAATGCAATAATCATACCTTCCTCAGGCATGTCTACATTGACCTGTATAGCCCCATGCTTTCGAGCCTCTGTAGGAAATTTCAGTGGGTAGGAATGCACCTCACTCAAATACAAGGACGTACTTGCTGGCTTAGACTTCAATGGTGTGTTCATGGCCGCTGTGGCAGACTTGTTATTTGATGCTTTCTTTGTCTTCTTCGAGGCTGGTGTATCTAGAAGAAAAAAGGTATGAGCAGAGAGTATTTCAAAATATGTCATGACCTGGACCTTTTGTGGAACGCTTTCGCTTGGCCGACGTCTCTGTTGACACAAAGGTAGGTGTAGTAGGTGTAGTGTCAGCAACAGACTTGTTGCGAGCACTCCGCCGTGCAGCTACTGTTTCCCCCATAGACTGCTGTGTAGTTACAGGTAGAGGCGGGACATCTACTGTGGACTTGCGCCCGGCTCTGGACATGGCAGAAGCTCAGTGAATAAAAAATGGAAAAAATTAGCTGAGAAAAGAACGAAAAAATCATGAAGCATTGGACTTGACCATAAATAATTTTACCATCATGTGACTCAAGAACGGCATTTCAAGCTACAATATCAATATCTGTTCACTTAATATTTGCAATATCATGACTTTTGTTTGCTCTGCATGTCGGAGATCCTTCAAACGGCTAGGACATCTTATACAGCATGAAGATAAAACTGGTAATCATGCTTGCAAGGAAGCTGGAAGAGCACGGGTAGAGATTCTTCGGCGCAACAGTACTAGATCTCCCCGTCGCAGCTACCATAGACCTCACCATCAATCAGATTCACCCCAGCAGTCTCATCATGACCGGTCCCAGTCACTCGATACTCATTCATCTACATCTCACTCTTCCGAATCATCAAATCCAGATGGTGACGATGAAGGCAATGAAGGAAATGGGCCGATTAAGATCTTCAGGGGTGATTTTTTTGGAAATGACTATATGGCAGATGATTTCCCAGGCTTAGATGATGATGATGAGGAAGACCTTGCTGGAGATGTCAATAGGGAAGATGGAGATGAAGATGAAGATGAAGATGTCTTCGATGATACTTTGATGGATCTCGAACAAACCTGGGAAGAAGAAAGGGAGCGTGTTGTCATTCCAGAGGAGAGAGAAGAATACAATACCATGGATGTTGATGAGAGTACAAGGAAATCATGCCTCCGTTCACTCCCAGCACACCGCGATGACATTCATGTTGATGTGTATGGGGGTCAAGCTGGTGCTCCACTTCCTGATTCAAATCCAACCCACACTTTGCACGATTCCTCACATGGGTTTCTCCACTATCAGTCCCAGATCTCTGGTATTAACCATAATCCATGGGCTCCGTTTCAATCACGCATCGACTGGGAAGTCGCTCGTTGGGCAAAAATGCGTGGACCCAGTTCAACTGCCTTTTCAGAATTACTTGAGATTGATGGAGTGCGTTTTTAGAACTGATGTTTCTCAAAGCTCAGTGTTGACTTTCTGCCCCAGGTTTGTAAAGCTCTTGGACTCTCGTATCGGAATAGCAATGAAGTTAATGGTATCATTGACACTGGTCTCCCCACTCAGCGCCCATCTTTCACCCGGGAAGAGGTCATCATTGCTGGAGAATCATTTGATTTATATAAACGGGACATCAAAGAATGTATCCAAGCATTATATGGATCTCCTGAGCATGCACGTTACATGTGTTTTACACCTGAACGGCACTACTCTGATGCAGATAAGACTTCTCGGCTCTATCATGATTTCTATACTGGAAAATGGTGGTGGGCTACACAGGTAAGTATCAAATCAAAGTGAATATTCTCTCCTGATAGCAGGTGCATTCATTCAGACTGCATTAGAGAAGGAAAACCCTGGGGCGACAGTGATTCCTATCATTATATCTAGTGACAAAACTCAAGTCACTCTGTTTCGCAATAAATCTGCATATCCTGTTTATCTTACTATCGGTAACCTTCCCAAAGAGATTCGGCGGAAACCCTCACAGCAGGGTCAAATTCTACTGGCATACCTTCCAACAACAAAGCTACAACATCTGACTACTAAGGCTGGACGACGACGAGCTCTAGCAAACTTGTTTCATGCATGTATGGGTAATTTAGTTGCACCACTTAAGGAGCTTGGAATATCTGGAGTTGTCATGCAGAGTGGTGATGGAGTCAAACGACGATGTCATCCAATCTTGGCAGCATACATTGGAGACTATCCGGAACAGATCCTGGTGTCCTGTGGATATTACGGCGATTGTCCAGTCTGCATGACAACAAAGGACAAGCTTGGTGAATATCCGTGTTCCCACCTCTTTTGAGATCCTGACAAAGCTGTCGAAGCTGCGAAACTTATACACACCAACCTGTGGGTGGACCACTGTGACGAGGCCAATCTGAAGCCTGTGCAGCATCCATTTTGGGAAGACTTGCCTTACACCGATATATTCCGTTCGATTACACCTGATATTCTGCACCAGATGTACCAGGGAGTTATGAAACACCTTGTTCAATGGATTACCAGTATTGTTGGTGCAGCTGAAATTGATGCTCGGGTCCGTCGCCTACCCCCAAATCATGGTATCCGTCAATTTCAGAAGGGTATTTCTACCCTTTCGCGGGTGAGCGGATCAGAACACAAGCAGATGTGCACATTTCTTCTTGCCCTTATAATCGATATCCCTCATTTGACACCTCAACAATCACACAATCTCTCAACTGCAACTCGCTCGCTTCTTGATTTCCTCTACCTCGCATGCTACCCCATCCATAGTGATGATTCATTGGATATTCTCGAAGCATCACTTGCAACATTCCATGAGTATAGAGATGTCTTTGCTCAGTTGTCAGTCCGTGAGCACTTCAACCTACCAAAACTCCACTTTCTATGCCATTGTGTCTGTGCTATCAAACTCTATGGGACGACTGATAATTATAATACTGAAACCACTGAGCGCCTTCACATCGACTTTACAAAAGATGCCTTTCGGTCATCAAACCGGAAAGATGAATACCCACAAATGACTCGATGGTTAGAACGTCATGAAAAGATCATTCACCATACCAACTATCTTACTTGGAGGAGTACCAGATCTCCAAGCCCTGCTGCAGCATCCCTAGATGTGGGACAACGTTTCGACTTCCCTGGTGCAATACGTTCATTGTCAGACCTCAAATGCACACTTACACAGCAAATGGCGAAGACACCTACTCTCCGATCAGTTTCACTCTCGAAGATTGAAGATACAGGCTCTCGAGGTTACGGTGCAGTGAACTTCATACCTGCACTGAAGAGATTTATTGCTCAATTCCGGCATCCTGACTATGAGCCTTGGCGCCAGTTAGAAATGGCCGAGTTCATCACTTTTCCATTCCGAAACTTACCTGTATGGCACCGTTTGAAATTTCGGAATGAAGAACTTTACGATAAATGCACTTTGGATACAGTTTGTGCCTACCCGCGACGATATAATTCAAGAAATGAAGTTATTCAGCATGCACGCTTCGATGCAGCACTGATCCAGGTGAATGGAGTGGAGGTTAATAGCGATAATTATTTCAAAGGTAACGACCCACAGTATATCCCAAATCTGACAATATAATGACACAAGCTACCTAGGTATGCAAGTCGGTCGTGTCCGTGTCATATTTTCGCTTCCTGAAGGCAAGCTTGATGGATTACTTCCAGCAAACATGACACCACCGAAATACCTTGCATATGTGGAGTGGTTCAGCTGTTTTCCAAGTCGAGCAGAATCTTACACAGGACTGTATTGTTTGAAAAAGCAGTTCAATAGAGATGGAACTCCTGCAGCCTCCATTCTGCCACTGGAGACGATCAAACACAGTGTTCATTTGTATCCGAAGTGGGGTGGAACAGTTCCTGCAGCTTGGACAAGTGAAAACGTACTTGATAAATGTCAGACATTTCTCTTGAGTCCATTTCGAGACACACACATGTACTTTAATATGGGATAATTAACACTAATTTGCGAGTTGCGAGATGTACATCTGTAGTTGTTCTCACACTCAATGCCTTTCCACGTCAATCATCTTTTCACTGTCATCAACAGCAATGAAGAGGTCAGCTTCGGAATTGGAAGATGATGATGAAATTACCGAGAGCTCACAAGATTCGGAGATGCCAATGAGTGTTTGGCTTCAACAGCGTAGAGCTAACAGCTACAGGTATGTGTTCCCTACATGCTTCTTTTGCAGCGTTGCTCATTGCTTCTACAGCCCTCTTAGATCTTCCAAGACCCCGAAGCGGATGACTGAAGACATTCAACATGATTTGAACCAGACTCTGGTCGAAGTCAACAACAACGAAGTATTATGTGCTACATGCAGAATACCAGTCACACTGTGGGATGTCGAAAAGAATGTACCTGTTCAGGCCGTCGGTGAGAAAACTCTCGAGTCCCTGACACCCAAATACTGATATTCCAAGAAGCATCAAAGTATAATAGGCTTGTCCGAAGATTCCTACGTCCCGAAGAAGTTGGTGACAATATTATCATTGCGGAGAACGTACGACTCAGGAATACTATCCGTTCCCTTGAGAAGGCACTTAGTGACCGCCAACATGATGTATGGCAACTTGAAGATGAATTGAAAACCCTTCGAGACGGTCTTCGACAGCTTTTAGTACATTGATGATAATTCCACTCTCTTTGATACAGTAGAGACGCATGTTTTTTGCTTACTTCAATGCACAGCGTAATTCTTATCCTCTACATGTCTCAAATTAATCTAAGTAATTTTTGATAATTGGGAGCGACCTCTGTTATGAATGGAATATTATGGAATATTAGGAAGGTTTGCACAAATCCACTCAAATTTTTCGTTTTCGAAGATTAGTAGAAAGTTTTTGCCCGATTTCCCGGGGGTGGGTTTCCTGATGTGGTACCTGCCCTTCTCATAGTACTGGCTGACAATGAGGAGGACACCACTCCTGAACAAAGGAGCTCCATGGGGCGATCGAGGGGGCATTGAGAAGGTAGAGAGCAGAGCTTCCAGGCAGTCCAAGAACATCCCCAATGCGAGCAGAGCTGAAGGAGTTATTATACCTCCTCTCCTCATGGTACTGACTGACAGTGAGGGGGTGTCACTCTTGAACGAAAGAGTTCTATGGAGCAGCTAGGGAGGCATTATAAAGCTGCGGAATAGGGCTTCCAAATGGTCCAAACACGTCCTGGACACGAGGAGAACTGAAGGAGTTATGGCACCTCCTCCCCTTGTAGTACTGGCTGACAGTGAGGGGAGCATTCCTCTGGAACGGGGGATCTCCATAGAGCGATCAAGGGAGCGTTGGAAAGCTAAGGATTAGAGCCTCAAACGCCCTGAGCACATGCGAGGAGAATCGAAGAAGTTATGGTACCTCCTCTCCTCGTAGTACTGGCTGACAGTGAGGGGATCATTCCTCTGGGACAGGGGATCTCCATAGAGCGATC